CAGACGACAAGCACCGACACCCGCCAAGCACAATGTGGGAAGAAACACAGAGAGAGAGAGAGAGAGAGAGAGAGAGAGGGAGAGACAGAGAGAGAGAGAGAGAGAGAGAGAGAGACGTGAAACAAAAATAAAACGTCATTAGCGAGTGCTGCGAGTTCCACTTGTAAATTAAAAAAAAAAAAAAAATTACACAAACTTGTGCTAGTTGATTGATGCCTCATACAACACACAATATTTATCTAAAGTTGCTTTAACTTCTTCTAATGCTACTATGGCGTTCTCAAATGCCCGTGTGAGGTCATCCACCAGTGCCCCTCCCTTCCATTAGAGGGATAGGGGGGGCGTACAGACATGCCTGTTATTAACAGATTGTACCTGATATTATCCAACAATGTTTCTAGTTGTAGGACAAAGAGGGGGGGGGCTAATGGGCAGCCCTGCCTCAAAGATCTGGTCAGTGGAAATTCGTCTGATAACCTACCGTTGACTTGGATTACTGAAGTGGAGTGAGAATACATCGCATTCATCCAAGTCTTAAAACCCTGGCCAAAAACCATCTTACTCAAGGTTGTGGAGACGAAGGTCCATCCTACCTTGTCGTAAGCCTTTTCCATATCCAGGAGAAGGACCGCGGCCTCACGTTTCTCTTTCCCAATTATCTTTAAGGTTTGAACCTTTGTTAAAATGTTTTCAAATATTGACCTTCCTTTTACAAAGGCGCCTTGTTCCCAGCCAACCAGGCTGGGGAGCAAGTATGCCAGTCTTAAAGCTAAGGTCTTGGCCAAGACGGAGATCGGGCGATAATTGCGGACCTCCCTCTTATTCCCCTTCTTGTAGAATAGGGAAATAACACTTTTAACAAAGCCCTTAGGTAGATATCCTGTCGATAGGGCTCTGTTGTATACTTGACACAGGAAAGGGACAAAGGTTTCCCATGTACTGAGAAATTGTTCGGTCGGTAGGCCATTTAGTCCCAGACATTTGCCCAAGGCCATCTTTCTGACTGCCTTGTGAATCTCTTGTTCAGTCAATGAAGCATCCAATTTGTCTCTGCTTAGGGATTGGTCTACACATGTGAGTGGTCCCAAAAGTTGGAAATCCTTGACAAATCTATGTCGAACTGATCATATGGTCTGCGCGTGGACACTATATCCCTGAAGTACTCCAACGCATACTGACAGATACTAACCGTGTCAGAGGCAGCTAAAGCTTATAGGGAGAAGGCGTGTTGAAATTCCCTAATAAGTGGTTTGGCTTAATGTAGGATCAAAGAGTGAAACGTCAGTTTCGTCATTCTATCGTATATTGTAATCCCATGTAATTTCAACCACGCAATCCAATTTGTTTGTTTTGTTTGCTCCATCTCTTGAAGTTGGGCAAGGGCCTCCTTTCTTTTTCGTGTCCAGTAGTAGTCTGTAAATGAATTCATGCCTAGACTACTTTCGGCTTCCGTAATGATCTTCTTAATTTGGACCTCCTTCCAGTTTCTCCTGACAGCCTTCATACGAGAAAACTCGATCAAAGCTGATCTGATGATTTGGATGCCCACGTCCGCCCAGTCTTCTTCTCTTTCAAACAAGTCTTTGGCCAATGGTCTGGCCTGCATCTGATTAGCTACCCACTGGGGGATTCCTTTGTCTTTTAAGTTGTTAATATTCAGCCTGAATGGTGACCTTTATTTTTCCACCGTTTCTTTAGATAGAATCTCAAAAAAGATGGGATAGTGATCTCACATCGAAGAGATGCGGACTTCTGAGGCCCTCACCTTTCTCATAGCACTCTCCTAGCTACTATAAAATCAAGCCTCCTACGAGGGGTTGGGGTGTACTCATTAGGACAAACCCCAAACCAAGTGTGTCCAGGTTTAGCTTCAGTGCTCTTAATGTGTCCAGCAGATCCTGCGACTCCAGAAAGGTCATAAGAAGGTTGGCATCCTCTCTCAGAGGAGAGAGTTTAGGAGAGTCTAGGCCCGGACAGAGAACAGTGTTCCAGTCCCCAAGGATTGTCATATTTTATGTATCTGGGATACATGCAGGTAGATTAGCAAAGAATGTAGCACGATCAATATAGTTGTCGGGGCATAAATTGAAACGATAGCCCAGTCTTCATCTTCAACTGCTAATTTTACCCAAATTAGACGGTCCGTCGGGTCCGAATACGAGTCTAGTATTTCACAGTCCGGATCTTTGATAATTAGGATGGTGGTACCTCCGTTAGATCCCTTCGCGGGGGCCCTGAATTGGGGGCCTTGCCACCAAGGTCTGATTTCTTCTATGTCTCCCGTATATAGTTTTGTCTCATGTAAGCATAGGATCTGAATTTTCTCTTGTTGTATTCATGTGGGAAGCCTTGATCGTTTTTGTCTTTCAGCGGTGTCACCAAGTCCTTTAACGTTCCAGCTGGATATGCGGATTTTAGGAGGTAAAATCATTTAATTGGTCTGCCCCGCTTAGCTGCTGGATACCGGAGTGAGTTTCGTGCAGTTTTAGTGAGAGAGTTGATGCAATGACGAAGGCTCAATATTTAGGCTCTGATACCATAGCTATTGTGTCAGATTTTGTCATGCAGTTCGTAATTTCTTTTGTGGTGCATTCCGCAGTTAAAGAAATAGATGTTGTGCTTTCGCTGTTGGGAACCAACAAATTTGATAATAGATGATGCGCTTTCGTTGTTCGGAGGCAGAACCATTTATGAACGTAGTTGTCGTCATATAGATTCAGGTTTGGACATCAATGTGGTCAGATAGGTTTAAACCACCAGTACTTCCGAAAGTCGTGGAGTGCATGTTGTCAACCATCAATACATGTCCACTTGAATGAATTTATGTCAGTGTCCCTAGTTCAGCACATTGTGCAACGCTTGTGCGGCCGCGTCTTTCACAAGTATTGATCAAGCTATCGCCTTTTTCCGAAATGCAACCTCATCTTAGTTGTACCTGACCGGAAATATTGGTTGTATACATTCATTACTAGTATGAGGGTGTGTTATGTTCGGGGGAGGACTGTAGGTGGCAAGCGATAAGCCATGTACGAAATTCAAGACTTTGGTTGTGCAACAAAAATAATTTTTGAGGTGTCTAAAATTATTATATCAACCATCTTCAAAACGTACACCTTTTTTTTTTCTTCTTAGGGAGGGAAAAAAATGTAAGGAAACCGAAGCAGTGCAAAAACCACACACAAAGGTGTGTGCACATTCCATTTCATTTGCTGAGTTATTATTAGCCCGCATGGTAAACAGGGGACCTCAACTTTTCAGTGCATGCTTGGACCTCTCGAACATC